ACTATGCAGTCCTGTTTGAACTAGGAGAGTTGGTAGGTCTCCAGCTCCTTTGCAAGAAAAGATTACAGTAGTTGTTGAGGTGGTTTAATGTGTAGACAAGCATGTGTAAAGTGGAACATGATTAAAGAATATAAAATGTGTGTAGTATGAAAGCAATAAGTAGGCATTTGGATGTTTTTCTTTTTCACTTGCAATGTTAGAACTTCTTTGATGATGTGAAAGCGTAGGATATTCAATGGTCAATCTGGAATTACTATGAAATAATAAATAATAAATACATAAAACTTGAAACTGGAAGATGTGATATTTTAATAGGGGACAAGACATTAACAGAAGATAACACTTCCTATCACAATTTATTGTGTTGTTTTTATGCTACTTCCAGAGTCGGAGGTAGCAGGCATCTGAGCACTGGTTGCTAGGAATAACAACAGCAAGAATATCTATATAGACCCGTTGTACTGTTCTAGTTCTTAGATGGAATGTTTAGAACAGGTTCAGAGAAAGAAGGGCTTTGAATATAGTCATAAGAAAGACAACACAGTGAAGAAACATGGAAGGAATTGAGGATATTTAGCCTGGTGAAGACAGGGAGAAAGGGGATTGATAAATGCTATTGACCAAAATTATTCCCTGCTCCCCCAGAGAGAGCAGTTTTCAGAGGGGAACAAGGGCGATTAGGGTGACATAAACAACATTTTACTGTTGTGATACAAGCCCCATGCCTGATCTACATGAGGAGTAATGTCATTCTGACAAAAGTAGAAGGACTTTGTAGATGCCACTGCTCAGAGATCAGGATTAAATCTCTTCTGTAACGGACACCATTGCTTTAGCTATCTGGCAATTAAAACTTTTCTCAGAATGGGTCTTTCCCCTACAGATCTTCAAGCAGAAGCTGAACATCTCTGCAATGAGAGGGATGTGTGTGCGCTAATTCTGGATTTCCCACACTGAGCTGAAGTTTAGATTGAATAGCCTGGAAGATACTTCTAGTTTAGATTCTATGAAGTGTTGCCAGTAATGGAAAAAAAAATATAAGACTTATGCAAATATTTAAAAACCCAGAACTGTCATGTATATAGATATTGAAATTTTGTTAGAAAAATGAATGAATGAATACTTTATTTGGACAAGTGTGATTAGACACACAAGGAATTTCTGTACGTTGCAGAAGCTCTCAGTGTACATGCAAAGCAACAGAGTAACAATAATCATAATAATGATATCAATAAGAGGGACTAGTAGAGGAAATGAGAAGGATAATAATAATTCAGCCATACAACATGGGTAAGTATACTTAGACATAAGACAATATTGTGAGTTTTAGGTGTTCAGCAGTGTGATGGGAGAAGTTGAAACAGTTTATGTCCAGGATGTGAGGCGTTTGTAGATATTTTCTCAGCCCCCCTGTTAACCCACACAATATACAGGTCTTCTATGGCAGGGCTTTTCAACTGGTGGTACATTGGCACATGGCAGATGGTACGCAGCCATGCCCAGCCTAGCCAAGTCTAGCAGGGGGAGGGAATGAGCCAAAGCGGCGCAGCACAGGGCTTGCCGTGAGAAAGTGCTCAGGAGCTGCAGGGTTGCTGGGCCAAGAGAAAGGCCCCAGGATCGGCACTTCTGGCTCACCTGGAAGAGAAAAGAGGAGGGGGCAGAGACAAGAAGGGATATAAAAGGAGGCAGTTTTGGCGGGAGAGGGAGAGAAAAAAAAGATACAGCCATGGGAGGAGGAAGAGTCAGCTGGAGCTGCACCGAAGGGAAAAAGAAGAGGAGGGGCAAGAGAGGAGAGGATAAAAAACAGGCTGGCTGGCAGCCATCCATGCCTGGCGCACACATAGCTGTCAGAAACAAACAGGCATGAAACACAGCTGGGAAAGGGTCGCCCTCTGGGAGGAATGAAGAAAGGCAGCATCCCCTGAAGGAGACTAGCAAATGACCCTCGCCCACTTCACACACCCATGAACTCAGGGGGAGGGGACAACCTGAGCAGCATGAGAGTCCACCTTACCTGTGCTACGCCACCCAGACACCAGCCTGCCCAGTTTCGGCAGGCAGCAGTGTGCTTTCCACTGTGCAAAGAGGCCAGTGAGAAGCCAAACTTGCCTGGGCACACGCAGAGGCGGACACCGCACAGGACCTAGCATCCTGGGTGAAAGGGAAGCACTCAGAATGCCATCAGCCTGCAGGGCAAAACAGTCACCCAGGACGCCAGGCACCATGCGCTTGCCGCCTCCTCTGCATCTCATCAGCTTCGCCTCACCTGGCCCAGTCTTTCCGCACAATGAGGAGAGCGCAGCGCTAACTACTGAAACTAGAAGGAAGGGACAGGCAATGAGAGGGAGGGAGGGAGGGAAAGGAAGGAAGGGACAATGAATTAAAATGAATAAACTATGAATTTTGCTGGTGAAATTTAAAACTATGTGAAGTCAGCAAAGTTGCTTAATTATATCTAAAATCTTATTTTGTTTTGTGGAATGATGAGTACAAATTTATAGAGAGAAAGATAATTAAGAAAAATTACACATAGATGAATAAGACTTTTGGAACTCCAAAATTCCTCAAGTTGAACAATATCATTACCTGCATTATGGACAGTACTTGAATTACCATTCATTTAGTGACCATAGTAACAATGGCACTGAAAAATGACATTACTGTTTTTCAAACTTATGACCATTGCAGCATCTCCATTGTCATGTGATCAAAATTAGAATATCATATTTATGATGGTGGTAGTGTGTCAGAGTTATGTGATCACCATTTTCGACCTGACAAGTAAAGTGAATGGAGAAGCCAGATTCACTTTACAACTGTGTTACTCACTTAACTGCAGTGATTCACAACAACTGTGACAAGTAAGGTCATAAAATGGGGCAAAACTCATTTAACAACTGTCTTGCTTAGCAACAGAAATTTTGGGCTCAATTGTGGTCATAAGTCGAGGACTACTTATATACAGCTTATTTGCATTCATTTGAATGCTTAATGTCAGCTTTTTTTTGTTTACCCATTTTTTTAAATTGGGCAATTAAGTAAAGTCAAATACTTTTAGATTTTTTTAAGTATATATTGCTAAATTATAATCTTTCTCAAATGATATCACATTGTGATAGAAGATCAGGATTACAATCATAGGTTTTTCAGAGAATTAAAATCTCTTTTTACACTGGATACATTTTCCTAGTTTCTACTTTTTTTTAAAAAATGTGAAATTTTGTGAGATTTTGTTTATCTCTTGTGAGATTGATTTGTTTCCCAAAGAAGTGTTGAAACTTCTAGTCACACAGTTCCATACTAAGCAATCAAGAGGTGACATTATAGAAATTATTTTGCTTTTCCTTCATTTCCTCCACACGCTGAAACTAGGGGAGAAGAATTGAGATGAGATGCTTCCTGGAAGATAGATGATTGCAGCAGTATATCCCAAAAGCCAGACTGGCAGAAGACTTCTGGGAAAGGGGGTTTCATATATTTCATACATATACCCTATGTTCTTCACCTTCCTTTATCAAATGTACTAAATTATCCTTGCATCAATAACCATTTCTTTGGTTCTAGTTGACTTTCTTAAATGGAAGAATTATAGTGCATGGTAATCCTCTGTGTTCTCAGTCTCTCCACAAAATCTCATTTTCTTCTGACTAAGAGTGAGAAACGACAAACAATCCAATTGTCTTTTTGCATGGTTTTCATTATAACTGACTTCATGTGGTAAATCTCAAAACTGAGGAAATGAGCTGCAGAAGAAGTTATGGGCAGCATATGAAATTTAGAGATCTACTGCTCTTTTGTGAATGCCAGGCTTACTGAACCTGAAAGTTCACAGGCTTCCCTTTAGACCAGGGGTGTCAAACTCGCAACGTCACGTGACGTATTGCGACATTTTTTCCATTGCTAGCAACGGAGTGGGCGTGGTTTCACCATGATGCATCTGGCCCATGGGCTGGTAGTTTGACACCTCCTCTTTAGACTGATAAGAGTTTAACATGGGGACAGTGCAAGTATTGATTTCCCTTGATAGAAATGGTGGTATGTATAAGAATAGATTGCCTTACGATACCAATGGAGAAAAAAAAAAAAAATGATGTTGAATTTGTACAGGTTGCATCACTCTCCACATTCATGGCAGTTGTTGGTTATTCTGGATATATGTGAGGTGCAGGGAAAAATTACACATTCTGATGTTCATATGAAAAGATGCAGAAAACCGAGAGGAAATTTATTTCACTTGATTGAAAATAACCAAAGATTTGATCTTGATCTACCACAATCCTGCTTAATAGTTCTGAATATTTAGGTTATGTAAGAACACAGAAGAAACTACAAACAACATTACATGCCTCCTCCTTACATTTTAATTTTAAATGCTGCTTGAATTATGTTAGCGGGATAACTTCTGCTTGATTGCAGCACATTTGGGAATGTTTTGCAATAACTCAGACCAGCCTATATCAACCTTTGGATGTATTAGCTAGATTTATCTCACCCGAGCCTCTGTGGTTGCTGGACTAACCTAGACAGTAAGATATATATGAAAAGGAAACAACATGTTAAGAATGCAGTTTGTTTGTGTATGAATTGACTTTTAAAAGGCAGAAATTTGATCTTAGCATTTGTATCCCTTTACAGAAAATGTTCCTGCTTTAAAAACTGATGTGGGGGCTGCAAAGCAAAGAAAATAATATTGCTTACTTGGAGTCTGTAAAATATTTTCTGCATACATAATAAATATATTTGTGCCATCACAATTGAATGGCAGTAAAATGATGTTAATACACAAATGGCACATATTTCAAGATCTTTGCATGAGTGACCTGCATCATATAGCACTGAATTTAGATGTGCCAATTTTTATTTTTTCATTTTAAAGCATGAAAATGTAATTATTCTGTATCACAATAATTATGCAAAGGGATTTTGTTCTGCCTTTACAAATGTGTCATCGTTCAGTGCTTGAATATATAATAAATGCTCTAATTTATTCTACTCAACAGATAACAGAAGATGGCTCAGTAAGTGCTACAGAACCCCATCAACCTTTAAACTATTTATAAAAAAAAGAATCAAAGACATCAGGAAGAAGTAACTAATTATACTATAGCATCATGGACAGAACTGAAGGATGGTCCTCCCTCTTATGCTAATAGTTAGCTCTGACTTTGTGTTTTGACAAGCGTATTGTACAGAAAAGAACATCTTTTATGTTGTAACAGAAACCAAATGAAATATTACAAATAAGATCACAGCTAAGGAAAAGGTGTTTATTTGTTTGGATGGTATATCTGCCTTTTCATGCAAGCTTTGGTAACTGGAAATTTAGTACAGGTAGTCCTCGACTTACGACCACAATTGAGCCCAAAATTTCTGTTATTAATTGAGACATTTGTTAAGTGAATTTTGTCCCATTTTATGACATTTCTCGCCACAGTTGTTAAGTAAATTACTGAAATTGATAAATTAGTAACCTAGTTGTTAAGTGAATCTGGCTTCCCCCTTTGACTTCGCATGACTTAGAGCATTTATTATATATTCAGAAGTTTGCAAAAAGGGGATCACGTGATCCCGGGACACTGCAACCGTCATAAATATAAATCGGTTGCCAAGCCTCTGAATTTTGATCATGTGATCATGGGGCTGGTGCAAAGGTTTTAACTGAAAAACAGTCATACATCACTTTTTTCAGTGCTGTTGTAACTTTGAACTGTCACTAAATGAAGTGTTGTGAGTTGAGGACTACCTGTATACATTAAACAGCTAATAAGCATTCCATATGCATTGACTGTTTTATACCAATTTATTTTAGGCTATACAGTAATCTGAAATGAATCATCATTCTGTGTTATTTTTAATGATTTTTTGTTCATGTAACTGTTATTTATAAAGTGATATATTTGTTATAAAAAGATTTACTGATTATTTTAGTCTTTGTATACAAGGAGAAATGATAGTTAAATGAATCCCCAAAGGAATTTGAACAATAAGCTCAAAAATGTGTGCCTTGTTTTAAAGCCTTTATTTAAATAAGGAAACCAAAATGTCAACAGTCATGTATGTATTCATGGCTAGACTTAGCTGGAATCACCTTTTTCTTAAAAATACGTATTTCTTCCTAGATGGTGTAGTGTCCATGCAGTTTACTGCAGGTTTACTGAAAAGTTAATCCTATTTTGTTCAGTGGGAAAAAGGCCAGTTCCTCAATAATGACCTTCTGGAATCCCCCAGTCTCGTACTGAGGTAACATAAAGCTTGTCCTCGTTCCTCTTATTTTGACAAAATAATGCCTGGATAATTGTAGAAGACACTATCCCTAGGTAGAAAAAGGTTAAGAGAACTTGGGAAATTGCTTAACCTCCTTAGATTTATCATCAGTTCAAGAAGGATCAAGGGCACTTTGTTAAATCACAGTCTAAATTTCAAGAGTGACTTTCAGGATTATATCTTACTGGTTGCTATAATGAAAATGAACTCCATTAGCAATTACTAAATGTTTTCAGTGATAACATATGGCTATGGTCAGCTGAGCCGTAGTTGAATAAAAGCTTCATTGAAACAAGCAGAGCCTGGTGCATTGCGGCTGAAAGGAGAAGGAGCAAAGCCACAGAGATTTGCTTATCTTGCTATAGCATTATTTAAGGCATAACTAGGTAACCTTTTATAGGTAGATGGGTTTGTTTGTTTGTTTTTGCAAGGTGTACTTTCTGATGGATGGTTCTTAGCATTCCCAATCAATTAGTTGTAGTTATCTTTCCTCTGTAATCATTTTTCTGTAGTTAATTTTAAAAAAAAATGGAAAGGAGAAGGAAGACATGGGAGGAATGTAAATGACTTCATAAAATGCCATAAATAAGATACTGTGATTATATAATGAGATATTCATTCAAAAGCACCATTTATTCTAGCCTGCAATGCTGATTTATAAGTGGAAATAATGGGATGCGCCACAGGAATATATTGAGCAAGTAAGAGCAAAACACTATACGGTTGAAGTGTTCCAATAATAGAGGTTGGAATCGACATTTTGTGTATCCAATTTCTGGGTATATTTTTGGTACACTTAGAATAATTTGTTTTAACACTGGAATATTTCAGTCATGACATTTTTTTTGCACGTTTCTTAACTAAGGTGAAAGTAGCAATAGCAATAGCACTTAGACTTATATACTGCTTCACAGTACTTTACAGCCCTCTCTAAGCAGTTTACAGAGTGAGCATATTGCCCCCAATAGTCTGGGTCTGGAGAGAGAGTAGCAATGAAAGGAAATATTGTTGAGGGGACGTGTGTGTTCTATTTTGTTTGGTCTAGTTCCTTTGTCTTTGGATCTTTCCAAATGATAATTTAATAAGAGAACCCAGAGTTCTCTTATCAAAGCCTAATGTCCCCATATACCTGATGTCAAATAGGCTGACCTTCTTCCCACCCTGGAGTAGAAAAAAGGGGGTGGATTTGCTGCCTAGCAAGGTGCATAACCATTAAAATGGTGAGATATGTCTGCTATTAATGAGGCAATTAAGTAGAGGAGAGAGTCCATCAAAAAAAGTATGTGAAACATTTAAAGATCACAACTAGTCTAGGACAGAATATGAGAAATCTAAGCTTCCACTACGAATAGCATACTCACTATGTATTACAGGCAGTCCTCAACATACAATCATTTGAAGTTACAGCAACACTGAAAAAAATGACTTATGATTTGTCCTCATTCTTTCAAATGTTCAGCATCCCCTATGGTCACAATCAAAATTCAGGAGCTTGGCAACTGGCATGTATTCACAATGGTTGCAGCATCCTGAGGATTGTCATGTGACTGTCATTTGTAACCTTCCCAGGAGGTAACAATCAAAGCAAATAGGGGAAACTGCACTGGTTTAACAACCATATGATTTGTTTAATGACTGTAAGAAAAAAGATTGTCAGGCATGACTTAACAATGACATCACTTAGCAGCAGAAGTTCCAGTGAGCATACATTGAGGGCTACATGTAGTATCATTTTACTATATAAAATTCATATTATTAATAACCCTGTTGCAAATATCAACAAAATCTATTAATGTAATATCGATCATTAAATAAAGGAAGAGATCCTGTAAAAAAAGCAGCTGACAGAACATGGTGCGCAAACAGATTCTCAGTCATTACTCTATTTATTAGAATATTTATGCAACTCTTTTCAGCAAATATCACTAAAGTATTTAGGTAACAAATCAAACAAAACCAACTAAAGCCACATATAACAAAAACTTCAAAAGAATGAAAATAGTAAAGCGAGGTTTCTCAACCTTAGCAACTTCAAGATACACGGACTTCAACTTCTGGAGGTTGAAGTCCACATATTTTAATGTTTCTGAGGTTCAGAATCAATGTGCTAAAGCACTATTAAAACCACTACTAGCAAGAGATACATAATTTCACTTCTGGAAAGCTAAGAGAGTTGCAATGAACCATTGCATTCCACAGTGCCTCAGGTAATGCAGAATAAAATAATTTCCCATGTTCCCAATAACCACAACTGTCTGCCCAAGGGGCCTTTTTTTTTTTTTTTTTTGCAGATCTTAACAATGAGGTAGGTGTTTAAAGAAAAGTTGATCCTTTAGCCAGCCTCTCTAACTTTAAAGTGGGAGTTGCTGCACCCAATTACAAAATAATTTAAAACTTTTTAAAAACTAAAATGTCATCTCATAAGATAACTGATTTTTTTTATATACGATTGTGCAAGATTTCAAATGACTACATGAAATCTGGTAAGAGTTTGATGTATTACTCAGTCTGCCACTTTTTTTTTGGTATCAGCACTGTCCATTGAAAATTGCTTGCATCATCATATAAAATTATAGAAAAATAAAATTCACCCAAACCAAGACTGAACAATAAGTGTTTAACATCATGATTGTCATATTCAGTAAAAGCCCTAACATGTACAGTGGTATGATTTTTAGTACTCCATCTTCCAATCTTATACCAAAAGTAAAAATTCATGAGACAGATTGGGATGACGGATGGATCCAAAGTTATCTAATGACAATTCACAATTGAGTATGGATTCAAATCAAGGTCTCCCTAGTCCTAACTTGTATACCAAGGGTCTTCAAACTTGGCCCTTTTATGACTTGTGGACTTCAACTCCCAGAATTCCTCAGTCAGCATGCCTGGCTGAGGAATTCTGGGAGTTGAAGTCCACAAATCATAAAAGGGCCAAGTTTGAAGATTCCTGATGTGTACAATGCTTAGTTACTCTTTTATAAAGCAGTGTGGTAAAATGATAAATGAATCTGATTTATGAAGCAGGCAACAGGTATTATTTGCTCATTTAGAGTCCTTTTATATGTCAGTAGGACACACATGAAATCCTAAATAACATTCAGTGGCACAGATAAGCAAATCGTTCAGCTAATCTGAAAGGGTGAATACTTTTTCACAAACTTATGAATGTTTCTCTTTCTGTTTTTAAATCTCTGCAAACCCCTTGGTTTTAGTTCATTTTCTGGAGCCCATATTTCCTAACTGTCATGGAAATTCTGTTTCTTTATACTATATTTAAGTACTGTTTTCATAATTCTTGACCATCAGGAATACTGGTTGTAAATGTTGAACTTGTCCAGAATCCCTGGAAGACTAGATTGGTTTATAGCATTCAGTCCAACTTTTTTTTGAAGCCAAGTCTCCAGAACATATTCAAAGTTGCGCTTGTAAATAATGCAAGTATCGGTTTTTCACAGATGTAAGATACAGGCAGGAACTGTTTAAATGTCTTCTAGAGATTATACTGCATTACATTTCGATTGGTCTTACAAGCATGTTACATCAGTTCTCAGGGCAGAAGTTCAAATGTAGATTGCATTTGTGAACAAATTTCAAAAATAGCTGCAAAACATACCTGAAGAATATCAGTAAATGCAGGACAGGCAGTATTTTGTTTTGTGGAAATTGGTGCCATCTGCCTTGGATGAGAAATTTATTTTGCTCTTGCTTGAACATGATTCCCATAGAAAATGCCTATGACTATGTTGGGGATTTGTGGAGCAAGAGATAATTAGTTGTCTGGGTCTGTCTTTAAGAGTGGAGCATGCTAAGTGCTATGATTTGTACATTTGTATCTATTAATTTCAAAATATTACATAGCAAAATAAATAATAAGGTATATGGCATGATTACTATATATTTAAAAAGGAATTCTCAAACAAACATCTGCAAAATAAACATGGATCATAGTAGACTTTAAATCAAAGCTTCCATATATTCAACATACTTTCTAATAGATCTATAAAGGTGACCATTATAAAAGACATAGATTTCATTAAAATAAATCTGATGTCTCTCAATTGTCCTTTTAATCTGCCCACGTACAAATAGAAGTTAAAATTCTTTGAAATAATATAGTTACAGAGAATTGATCTGTTGAATAATACTATCTTGTCTGCCATAATTCAGCTCTTAAGAGTTAATACCATGATTAGTATTAATATGTAAGACTGGCACCGTTTAATGCTTCAGAAGAACCCATCTAGGATGCCTGTGCTAGAATCTCTTAAATATTTATTCTTTTGTAATTCCTCACTACAGCCATTGTTGTTCTGCTACTATTTTCATATCTTTGCAGTTCTCCCAGTCAGCATCATTTTGGGGTGTTGTAAGAAATAAAATTAGAGGCTAGAGCTATACATCTAGAAATGTTACCTCCAGTAAAGTCAACCTGGATAGGACAATGTGCTAATGATGTTTCAAAAATGTAGCCAGTCCTGCCTAAGATTCAATTTCCCAATGCAACACAGATCTTTGCAATAGTTATTGAATTATTTGTGTTATAGGCCACCAATCACAATCACTGGCACTTGGTAATAATCCAGTCAAATATATACAGCTAAGACAGGGGGAGGCAACCTTGGGTCTTTTATGACTTGTAGACTGGCTCAGGAATTCTGGGAGCTGAAGTCCACGAGTCATAAAAGAGCCAAGGTTGCCTACCCCTGAGCTAAGATATATAAAAGTAAAAGTAATAAAACTGCAGATACTTGGTGTTCCTCATGTGAGATTACAGATTACAGATTACAAAAAGTTTGCTTTTAATAGCTTTCTAAATATCGGAGGAAAAAGGGCTACATAGATCCCTGGAGGAAAGCTATTCAAGGTGGATGAAGTTAAGAAATAGGTTGGGGTCCCCAAACTTCAGTATCCCCCCCAAACTTCAGTATCCATACTGAGGCCATGTAGATTGGGTAAATTTTTAGAGCTTCCTGGATGCCTAGCCTTGTAGAGTTTTAGAATGGAATTCTACTCAAAAGTCTACCAATATACAGCACTGGTGTCATTTGATTATAATGGCTCTCATTTGCCATTGTTGGATTGCATATTAATTTTGGTCTTCAGAAGCACAATTGGTATGTTATAGTATGGTATGTTTATTATAATAGTCTTTTGTATCATGCTGAGAGTGTGGGTTGCTGCTGCTAGAAAATAAACATCTGGAGAGAGCTGGAATACAAAAATCTGGTCAATCACTAAATGGCAGCAAAGAGATCCTGATAGTTCTAACAAGATGTTGGTCCTACTAAATCAACAAGGGCCTCTCAATCTGGTTATTGGGCAGGCCCTCATTTTCACATCAGTGGGTGTACTTGCTTTGGTGTGACTGGCACATTTGAGAAGCTGAGAAAATCTGTGGGTGTGAGTTACATAAAGGGTCAGAGGCCTGTTCCTGGGAATGAACAAAAAAGGGTGAGAACACAGCGCAGGCTTAAAAACAAAGTACAATTACATTGCAAGTAATAATGAAATAAGGTACAAGATTGGGCTACAGGATAACCCTGTTCCCAGCCTTACATAAATCTCCATACCCTCTCCTTCTGTCAAAAAACTAAGAAAACCTTGCGCTGAATTTGATGCTATGCTGATAATACAATTTCTGATGGGGCCAAGAGGGGGAGAATTGATAGATTCCAATAGGAGGTTGCCATCCAACAGGTCGCCATCCAACAAACACTAATGGAATGATCAACACCTTTCCTTTTTATTGAAAACTGCAAAATACATGACCAACTAGTAGCAGATCAAAGTGATTCCCACAGATTTCTCCTTGCTTTCTAATGCAGAAACAGACTGAGTAAAATTAAAGGCACATCCAGTGGATGTAAATTAAACTTGGCAGGGGTAGGAGGGAATCTGTGCCATTACAGGCATTAAAAACAGATGCTGTGTATAATGCAACCAATACTAGAAATCTAAGCTTAGCTGCACAAGAAGCTTCTTAATGGCTGGATTTCCAAATCAGACTAAGTCATAACAAGTTCAGCTTGGTTTTTATTTAATGGAATATGGGGGGGTCTACGACAACTCGCCACGGCCAACTTCTCCACAGCCAACTTGCCATGACCAACTCACCATGGCCAACTTGCAGGAGGACAACTTGTCACGGGGCAAGTGTTACACTAATATTGAAGAAATAGTGGAATAGAATCATTAAAGAAAGGATGCCAAAAGAGGGACAAAATGAAATGTGAATGGCAAAATTTAAAATATTTTAAAAATCATTTTAAATAATTAAATTGAATTGTTGAATTGTCCCGCAGTGAGTTGTCCTGTGGCGAGTTGTTCCACGGTGAGTTGGCTGAGGTGAATTGGCCGTGGTGAGTTGACTGTGGTGAGTTGTCCCATTCCAAATGTGTGATCTCAGCCATTGTGGTCTGCCGTGTTTTGTGATTCAGCATGATATTTAAACCTAGCTAAGGTGACTTGTTCAATAAACTGTTGTTACAATAAATAATAGCCTTAGTGTAATATGTGAACCCAACCATTATCAAAACTAGCTGCTAGGAAATCTGAGAAACTAGGGATAAAAGAGTCTAGAAAGGGACATCAAACAAGGTTTAAGCTTCACTAAATACTGGTGAAAGCTTAGCCTTGCCTTCCATTTCTCTCTGAAATTTAATAAAATTCCTACACTGTAAAATTCCTACATTGTAGCAAGTCATATTTTTTTTCCAGCCCTGTCTGGAAGTAAGAAATGAAGGCCCTGACTTTCTAGCCAATTGTGTCATTTTCCCATCCTAGTCAAGTGCTCTACACTACCACAGAATACAACCCAAGAGGAAAACAAGGTAGTTTTTTTCCTGACACTCAGCCATAGAGGCTTACTGGGTGATCTGAGGTTTATTTCAGCTCTACCTATTCTAATGTTTACTGATGTAGACAAGAGTTGGCAGAAGGACTACTGTATATGGCAAGCTAAGCTCCTAAGGGAAAAACAGGAGAGAAATGTAATAAATTAATCAATGAACTTAATCATCTTTGAAAACATCAAGGCATTGAAGAATATGACTTGAGTTTATACAACACACTAGGACAAATTTTGTGGTTAAACATGTTGTGTAAACCTAGAGAATTAAGTTAATTCCTTAAGTTATAATCAATATAATTGTGGACAAATTTATTGCCGAAATAAAGTTACTGAGAAAATTTACTTCACAAGTACTCTGATAGGTCTTTTACTTAATTCCTTCTTCTTGACATTTTTGTAACAGCAGGAAGGTATTTTATGTTAGGGTAGATTGAACAAGACCTGTCTATTTAAAAAGATTCATAGCAAACGATTTTCATGAATATACTACCATGTTGAGTATTTGATTTTTAACAGATGCTCATTAAAAATGTTGTACCATTAATCTTTAAAAAGGTAAACATCAAAACTGTTAGCCATGAATCAAAATTTATATTTTAAGCTATAAAAGTCATAATATAATTTGTTTGTGGCTTAATATGTGGTGTGGATTCCACCAATTCAGTTTGTAAAGCATGGTTTATTGCTTTGGTTATATCCATAACCCAATAAAGATATGGTTTATTGGTAGATCAAAGCTGAAAAAAACGCAACCTAAGATATTGTATGAACACAGCCTTTAAAAAGTAGATTATGGACATATGATCCTCTGTCCAACCAAGCTGAAGAGCCACCTAGTTCAATATCCTATTCCGTTTGGTACTGTAATGTCATAAGTTTCTTTTAAGAAATATTTACAGAAAGAGCAGGGAAAGCAAAGAGAGGAGGCAACCAGTAAATGTCAATATGTAATGTGTAGCTTATCTGTCTGGCTTCTCAGG